CTCGTCATCAGTTTGACAAGACATGTCGTCAACCCGTCACTCGTATGACAAGACGCTTCTGTCAACACGTCGCCCATCTGACGAGACGCTGTCGTCAACATGTCACTCGTCTGACAGGATACTTTCATCAACTCGTCATTTGTCTGACATGTCGTCAACCCGTCACTCGTCGGGACGCTTCCGTCAACTCGTCAAGACGCTTCTATCAACTTGTCACTCATTTGACGAAACACTTTCTTCAACCCGTCAATCCTCAGATAAGACGCTTCCGTCAACTTGTCACTTCCCTTGCAAGAAGTTTTTGATTGAAACCGTCTCTCTGCTTGAAACAACGAAGATTGAAAGCTAACATTTTATCTTTTCCCGTCCAAAATTGCATTGACGACTAAGTGACAGAAATTTGCAACATCTTTCATATTGATGTCGACACTTCAGCTGGAAAATGGAACATCATCTGTCGTTGAAGATAATGACTTGGTCCATATCCTGCAAAAACTTTAAATAACGTTACGTTTTTCGTTTGTACTATCTCCTTATGTTGGAGCATGTGCTTTTGTTGTGTAGTTCTATATTTTTTGTTGTTCGTGCGTTGTCACATATGTTTTGGTTGCACGCGCGTTGTCATATATGTTTTGGTTGCACGTGCGGTGTCATATACGTGTGTAGGTTTTGGCCAAAAAATATATATGTTGTAAGGGCCGGTTGGGACTGTTATCCATGATCTTCTCATGGGCAGCCCAACCCTTTCCCATTTGATGTTAGTGTATAATATGTAACTGGCATGAGCATGGTTGAAATCTTAGTTGCCTCGGCAACTGCTTGATCTTGTGCTTCGAGATAGTCCTGCATCCATTAAAAACCGTCGAAGCTGGCCGTTGGCTTTGGGCCAACGGCCCTCTGATGATTAAGTCAGTAAAAGCAATGAATATATCTTGAAGCGGAAATGTATACTCTACACCGAATACGTCACAACTTTCTATGAACAAGATGACCACATAATGTTTCCATAAAGGATCCAAAATTTATTGAACTCAAGCTTAGAAATGAGATAAGTTACTGAGATTAAAACATGCACAAAAAATAATTCAAAGGAAATGCACAAATTGAACATGACGCTTTAACAGATTCGTCGTACTCGATACGTCATTGTTTTCTAAATGAACTACAAGGACCTGTGACGTATTAAAGTCACTTACTGATGGTGCTTCATTAAACTTGGTGTCTCGTTTGGTTTTCTGTACTCAAAACGTTGTTAGGGTTGGTCGTTGGCCTTAAGCCAACGGCCCTCCGACGATTAAGTTAGTGATCATTTACAGATAAATGAAAATAATAGATTAAGAATATGTATACCAATCTAGATAAGTTATCGCCATAACATGTCTACCGTCTGACAATTTCAATCATTTCGTCACCGAAGTGACGTATCACGAAAGTGACTCGTCACGGAAATGACTCGTCACAGAAGTGACTCGTCACGAAAGTGATTCGTCACGGAAGTGACTCGTCAAGAAAGTGATTCGTCATCAAAGTGATTCGTCACGAAAGCGATCCGTCACAGAAGTGACTCGTCACGGAATTGATGACAATATGCGAAAGAAGGTAAACTAAAAATGAAACAACTTTTAAGGGTACCGTATTGCAGCTCTTTAAAATCTGTCTATTATCGGACGATGTGCCCCCCGTCCGAGATATCAATCACTTTGTCTTGTTCATCTCGTCATGGAATGACGACTCGTTCCTCGGGTCTTGAATAAGGTTTCCCAGACTTGTAATCATGCCTCCTAGGAGATTCTGATTTCCCGTGCCCCCATTCATGCTCAACATGTCCAAGACGGGATCGTAAGTCTTCTTCTAGACGGATGAAAGCCAATGCCTTTGCTTGGACATCTTCGAAGGATCGACAAGGGTATTTCGTCAGCTCTCGGTATAACTCTGAATCTTCATATAAGCCTCTTCGGAATGCTTCAATGACGGTAGAGACGTCACATTTTGGGATCGACACCTTCCTTACGTTGAATCTGTGCAAATAATCTCTAAGTGATTCACCATGCCTCTGTGTGACTTGATACAAGTCACTGGTCCGTCTTTCCAATACCTTACTACTCGCGAACTGTCGATTGAAAAGATTGACGAGTTCGGCAAATGAACTGACGCTTCCATTCGGAAGATTGACAAACCATGTCAAAGCGGGACCGATCAATGTTATGCCGAATCCTCGACACATACATGCCTCTCTCTGTTCCGGTCTAACGGGGACGGTCGACATCACTTGCTTATATCGCGCGACATGTTCTCCAGGATCCGTGGTTCCGTCAAATGGCTCCATGGTTGGTACGTCAAATTTATTCGGCAGTTGGACACGAATGATCGAAGCGTCAAAAGGTGAGTCTTCATAACACGTTCGTGACGCTCTTTCCAAGGGCGGGGGTACCCCTGGCAATCTGTTGATCTTGTCCTGGATCTGACGCATTTGCTCCATCAACATGGACATCTGATCTGCTACGGCTGGGTGGATAGGTATTGAGATAGAAGACGTTGGTCCTACCATCTGGGTGACTTCAGGATGGGTTGGTGACGGGATGAAATTCACTTCGGGGCGTCGCTCTGGAAGTGTCGACGCTGATGTCGTGACAGGTCTGCCAAAGCGTTCCGTCAGAGGCTCTAGAAATGATACATTAGGTTCATTCCGTCTGGCGTACTGCATGAAACTTGATGGACCGGGCTCCCCACAAGTTCTGCTCCTGTAATGAGGAATTGACGGCTCTAGCGTGAGAGAGACGGGATCCGTCACTGTTGCAGGTGGATCCGTCGCAGCTGGGGAGAAACAAAGATTCAGCCGTGTTGCGGCAGTCATTGTGTCACTCCTCCGATTGAGCCTCGAGTTTGAAGCTATCGAGACTACAGCTTGTACCTGGGAGCGAAGTACGTCGTTCTCGCGTTGAAGATGGGCCATCTTCTCCGCCATCTCACGCCGGATTTCCTCCCGGACCGTCTCGAGCTGCTCATGGAATTCAATTAACAGCTGATTCGTTCCTGCCATAATTGATTTCTTTCTTGCACGATGCCCCACGGTGGGCGCCAAATTGTTTTAGCAATAATTACACTAATCTAAACAATAAATTATGAATAGGGATCGTGCAAGAACTAAGATTACGAAGAATTTGGAATAACAAAGATTAATGAATATATTGATAGATTTATGTGTTTCGAGTACAATGATAAGAAAGTATTCTGATCAAAGATCTCTCCTTCCCTCGACTGCCGCTATTCTATCTTATATATAATTGTTCCAAGTTATCCTTCTCCGTTTGAGCAGCTAACAACCCGCCTATTCAGCCCCTACTTCGTATAATTCGGGAATTGGTTGAACAGCTTCATCATGCCATAATTATCTCCTGCTGGTTTGACCTTATCAACTTAGTCATCCACCTTAAACGTTGGTAGTCTTAGTTTACACACGGGCCAGCCCTTTATTTAATTTTTCAATTATTTCTTGGCCCAACAGTGACTTATGTTGTTTAACGTACGTTTATGTTGTTTAACTTTTTTATTTAGATGGGTTTAACTTATTAAGAAGATGGGCTTTTTAATTAAAGTATTCTGAAACTTAAATATTGGCCTTAAACTTTTTTAATCCTATTTTCCTAATGATACATGGCACAAAACCTACCGTTGGATGTTTTCTTGTGTGAAAAGAATCTCCCTAAAAGACTCGTTGCAGTCGTTTAATTGGAATCAAAGATTTTAATTGGAAACCAACATCGATACTATTTCATGAAAACTTGCATTTGTGATATGTGGTCTATAACTCTATATATCTTCAATTTGAAGTCCAAACTCATGAGCGTCCAGATTAAAATTTCAAATTACCCGAATTCCAACCACACTTGTATTTTTTAAAGAAAAAATTGTTGGAAAAAAGTGTGTTAAAATTGCATTAAATGGTCATTTTGGGGTAATTTTTTGAGCGGGTCCACTTCCGATTTGGGTCGGGTCAAAGTGGTTTCGGATTGTCCTTGCTTAGGGCTACAATTCGATATATATGGTACGCTCAAAACGGATAACGGGTGAATGAGAAATCGCTTTACGAAGTTTACCCGTTGGAATGGAGAAAACTAGGAAACGGTGAGTTTTTGGTATGGTTTTTCCCACACCGAAAATCACAAGGGATTTGCAACCCTTTATAAGGGAAAACCCCCCCTAAGGAGTTAAGATTCCTAAAGGGAAAGGCTCTCTCACGCGCGCAGGGGGGGGGTGCGGATCAAATCCCGAAACCGAAGAACAAAAAGCGCGACTTGTGTGTGCGGGCGACCTACACACACGAATGCCGTCCGAAAATAACGTTAATTTTTGTTCTTCCGGTACGTTCCTATTTATTTCTGCTAGACTGCAACGTTCATGAACGTTGCAGCATAAATTCCCAACGTTCATGGCCCTTCATGGCCATTGATGTCCAACGTTCATATGCCTTAAACAGTCATTAACACATGCAGATCCTCCCCTATATAAGGTTGGCAGCTTCTTTGCAAAAGACACAAGCTCACAGACGTATTACACTCTTCTTTAGCTCTAAAAACTCTCACAGCCATCTCCGAAAAATTCCTTCAGTGTTCACAGCATTGTTCTTGTTCGTTGGAACCATAGTTTGAGTGCTAAACTATCGTTCGAAGTCATCGTATCCTGGGAAACGATTCTTGCAACGCTCCTAGCACCCCGGGAGGCAACAAATACGTTTTAAAGAAATCGTGCGTTGCACGAGCTTTGACTTGTTCTGCTTCATCTCATTTCTCGTTTTTCATTTGAGCCATTTTATTTAATTACTTTTTATTAATTAATTTTCTTTGTTTTTCGAAACACACCCAACAAAAATTTCACAAATATTACTCCTGAAAAAGTGATGGACAAAAACGTGACTTGATAACTTTAAGTGACTATAATTGTATTGAAAGTTACTATGTTGTAGTTACTATGATGTCAACATTGAACACATTTAATTTATAGTCACTAAAAGTTACCAAGTCACATTTTTGTTCATGTCTTTTGTATTAGTAATATTTTAGGAAAAACCTCAGTTAACATTAAGATCAACAACATCGAAAATCACTATACCCAGAATTTATATCCTAAGATAATAACGCCAGCAATAACCATACAAATAATCAACAACTTTTATAAGGCCAAAACTTGGGACTGACAACGGCAAAGAACTCTACGAAACTCAATCCTCATCCATTCCTCCTCCAAGCTATGCTCCTCTCTTCGGACCACCAGCTGTTTTTGCCATATACACATCTGACATCTGGTCTACTCGAAGAACTGTGCACACAACATCAGCAGCATGTTTCAGAGCAAAGAACTTGGATATATTAGACTAAGGGGAAAATGCAGCTCAATTTGGTAGGGTTTTAGCAAGGGAAAATATAGAACTACTTAAATAGGATGAACATGATTATTTCCCAACATGTCAATGTTAGTTTGTTAAGGCATTTAGAAGAATATTAATTGATCGTTTGTAAAGGGCTCACAACTATTATTGATCAATGACATGAGTATTTATACGAATACTACTCCTTATTACATGTTATTACAATTTGGGCTACAACAAGCCCAATGGGTTGAAATCCACTCTAACACTCCCCCTGAAAACATGTATCTTCAAAGGCTTTGTTAAGATGTCTGCCAATTGATCTTTTGTTCTGCAGTACTTCAAATTCAACTTCCCTCTATTCACTTGATCCCTGAGAAAGTGAAAAACGAGTTTCTATATGCTTGCTTCTAGCATGAGCCACAGGATTCTTTGCCAGATTTATAGTTGACTTGTTATCTATCTTCAGAACAGCTATACTATATTACTATGAGTTTCAATCTGCATTTCTCTCAATAATGAATCTAACCGCTGTGTTTGACAAACTGCAAAGGGCTTCACATGATGATAATGCCACCACTGGTAGATTCTTTGAACACCAAGAGACTGGTGCATTACCCATCATGAACACATACCCTGAGGTACTCCTATCTGTCAGATCACCTGCCCAATCTGAATCAACACAGCCATTAACCAGTTCCTCCTTATTTTTTATTGAGTTTGGCAGTAGAATGCCAAAATCTGATGTGCCTTTGATATACCTGAGTGTCCTCTTGGCTGCAATTAAATGTGATGTCTTAGGCTTCTCCATAAACTTGCTAATAATCCCTACAGCATAAGTGATGTCTGGTCTACTTGAACACAAATATCTTAGACTCCCAACCATCTGCTTAAATAGAGTTGGATCCACAGGTTTCTCTTCCTCATCATTTCCCAATTTTAGATTTGTTTCACAAGGAGTAACAGCTGGATTACAGTTCTGCATATCAAATTTCTCAAGAATTTTTTCTGCATATTTTTTATGTATCAATATGCCCTTCTTGGTTTGCAAAAACTCCATCACTCTCCTTCACCACTACACAGCAAAACGTACAGCTTGCTCACTAAAACTGTCCAGTGAACTTTCCCAGTTCACTATGAGTCATCTCCTTGTTATCTGTTCTTCAAAGTGACCTATTTCCATTTGTCTAAATCCTTCATACTTGTGTGTTAGACTAGTTCTAAAGCCAGCCAATGTGTTAGAGTATAGTTCATTGCTATACCTTAACTAAAATAAGCAGAAACATCATTTTGGTGTAATAAAGACAGCCAATGTGTTAGAGTATAGTTCATTTCTATATTAAAAATGTTTCACGAAAATAGAAGTTATACTTATCAAATAGTTATTTTGGTGTAATAAAGGTAAAAAATTATATTATTAATTTATTCACAAATTATTATCTTCAAATTATATTTTTAAAAGATGGAGTTAATTGGCAATGGTTTACGAATATATTTATAGAAAATTTAATTTAATGACTTGAATCTAATTAAACAGAAATATAAAAGAATTTGTACTTATGCTTTCTCGGGTTTTGCTCTTTATTTTTTAATTATTTTAAAAGTTTTTGTCTCGGCATTACTGTTTATGAAAAAAAGATTTGATTTTTTTTTCTCAAAATAGGATAAAAAGTGAATAGACAGAATTCGTAAATAGAAAGTATATTTCTTTTTAAAATATGAATTATTTACTCCTATTAAAGAATAAAACAATAACAATAGAAAGTAGGAGTAAATGAGGCTCCTATATAAAAATCATGTTTTGTGTGCTGTCATTTAGACTACTGTTGTTTGGACTTCTCTTCCAGCTCAGGTCTCGATTTATCACCCACAAAGGATGCTAAAATCACCACCAAGGTCAACAAATGGAGAAGGGGCAGCAGCCAGCAAGTTTTCTCGGCCAAATCTATCGATATTCCACAGAGGAGTATTTTAGGGTTGTAATTGGGGAAGAGAAATTTCGGCCAGCCTCATCGATAGAGAAGAGAACAGATATATAGGCAAAGCACAACACTCATAGATGGAAACTTACCTTAGGAAGATTAGCAGAGTATCGGGAAGAAGAAGGAAGTAATCGAATAAGGGAGAAAGCCGATTCAAACACAAGAGGTGCAGCTGGATCGGTTAAAGCAATGGGCCGGGTAAATAACCACAAGCATTTGGGCTTAGGAAAAAAACAAGGGCCAATACCAACACAATCTCCACCTTATTGGACCTTAGTGGTGTAGAGTCAAAACTCTAAAAAATAATATGAGACTCATCATCGCTGGATTGCCTGAATAATCACAAAGACATATTCAGGCAAAGGGGGTAAGATCACCAGGCAACTTATCCGCAATCAATGTTTAACGTGCGTTTGCACGACAGCAACTTTTCGACCGAGAGACATTTAGTCCCCATGTCAGCAGGATTAAATTCTGAAGGAATTTTACTCAACTTGATATGACCTGCACTAACAATATCACGTATAAAATGAAATCTAACATCAATGTGCTTAGTTCTATCATGAAAAACAGGATTTTTACACAATTGAATAGCAGATTGACTATCAGAAAACACACAAATGTCCTGCTTAAGACTACCAATCTCCGTTAGGAGACGTTTAAGCCAAATGGCTTCCTTAAACGCTTCGGTAGCGGCCACATACTCCGACTCAGTGGTGGATAGGGCAACAATGGGTTGAAGTTGAGATTTCCAACTAATGCACGACCCACAAAGAGTAAACACATAAGAGGTAGTGGATTTCCTATTGTCTCTATCATTAGCAAAATTAGAATCCACATACCCACTCAACTTAACCCCCTCAGAACACTTAGTGAAAACCAACCCATGATTAACGGAAGATTTCAAATACCTAAGCAACCACTTAAGAGCATTCCAATGATCTAAACCAGGATTAGACATATACCTACTCAAACAACTAACAGCATAGGCAATGTCAGGTCTAGTACTCACCATGAGATACATCACGGACCCAATAGCATTGGAATAAGGCACAGATTTCATTTTAGCAATTTCAGGAGCAGTCTTCGGAGACTGATCCTTACTTAACACAAAGTGAGACGCCATCGGGATAGAAACGGGAGTAGCAGAATGCATGTTATATTTACTCAAAATCTTTTCAATGTATGAAATCTGATTGAGAACTAACACACGTCTACTCCTATCCCTAACAATGTTAATGCCTAGGATCCTTTTGGCATCACCTAGGTCTTTCATAGCAAAGTTCTCACTGAGACGCTTTTGCACACATTTAATGGCATCACCCGAAGGACTCACAATCAACATGTCATCCACATATAGCAATAAAAATACAGGCACAGAAGAAGTATTTTTAAAGTATAGGCAATGGTCGCATTCGGACTTGTGAAATTTCAAAGATGACATGCACTGGTCAAATTTGATATTCCACTGCCTCGGGGACTGCTTCAGGCCGTACAAGGCCTTCCTAAGCAAACACACATGATCACTCTTCATGGGATCCACAAAGCCCTCAGGCTGCGACATATAGATTTTCTTATCTAAATCACCATGCAAGAACGCAGTGGTGACGTCCATTTGCTTCATTTCCCAATCATTATGAGCAACAAGAGCAAGCATCATACGAATCGTAGTAAATTTAACTACAGGAGCAAAGATTTCAGCATAATCAACACCTTCCTTTTGAGTAAATCCCTTAGCTACTAACCTAGCCTTATATCTAATGTCGTTAGGCTCTTCCTTAACCTTAAATAGCCACTTACAGGCAACAACGGAACTATTGGGCGGTCTAGGAACTAACGTCCAAGTCTTATTCGCTCTAAGTGACTCCATCTCACTTTCCATGGCGCAAAGCCATTTAGCGGACTCATTAGACTTAAGGGCCTCTCTATAGGTTCTAGGTTCGTTAAGCTCAAGGGTCTCAAACACAGAGAAAGCAAACATAGAAGTATCACACATATGGAAAGCATAATCAGGCATACTATCAGCAGTTTTCCTAATTACTCTCCTACTTCTATCTCTAGCAAGTTGATAATCATGCAAATCATTCTCACTAGCATCCGCACTCTCATCATGCGATTCATTGTCATTTGAATGCACATGAGAATGCTCCACCTCACTCGAAGTGGTGGTAGTATCATGCTCAGAAGAATCAGAATCATGCAATTCAAAAGAATTAGAATCATGCAAAACAACATTATCATGATTAGCAAACAAAGGGCTAGCAGCACGTGGTATGGACTCCACCTCAACGGGTGTACTACTAGGATCAGACTCAGAATCAGGAACTGACTTATCCAGACAAGGAAACTCGGATTCATTGAAAACAACGTTTCTACTCACCACAACTTTGAAACCTACCTGGTTCCTATCCCAAACCCTGTACCCCTTCACACCCTCGGGATAACCTAGGAAGACTCCTTTCTTAGACCTAGGATCCAACTTGTCACCTTGTTGGTGTACATACGCTGCACACCCAAACACTCTAAGATTAGACAAATCAAGGGGTTTGTTTGAAAAAACAGATTCAGGGCACTTCCCACCCAAGGGAACAGAAGGAGACCGGTTAATCAAGTAGACAGCAGTGTTAACTGCTTCACCCCAAAACTTTTTAGACAAACCGGCGGTGGCAAGCATACTCCTAACCTTATCTAGAACAGTCCTATTCATCCTCTCGGCTATCCCATTTTGTTGGGGAGTATAGGGCACAGTTTTGTGCCTTCTAATCCCACAATCAACACACAGTTGGTCCATATCCTTATTGCAAAACTCTAGACCATTATCTGTCCTAAGGGTTTTGACCTTCTTACCAGTTTGATTTTCTACAAGGTTTTTCCACTCCCTAAACTTCACAAAGACATCGGACTTATGCTCAAGGAGACGGACCCACACCTTCCTAGAAAAATCATCAATGATGGACAGAAAATATCTCTTACCCCCGTGGGTAGAGACACTAGCAGGACCCCACACATCAGCATGAACATACTCTAACACAGAGGTACACTTAATAGGATTAGGATATGGGGAGGAGGGGAATGTAACCTTATGCTGCTTGCCTAACACACAAGATTCACAAAAGGGGATGGGGGACACAGAATCCTTACCAAAACAACCAGATTTATGCAAAATCTCTAAACCCCTATTACTCATGTGCCCTAATCTATTATGCCACAATGCAGATTTATCAGAACTAACAACATGAGCAGAATCACAGAAAGGCTGAGCATGGCACACATACAAGTTATTCACCTTTGTTGCTTTAAACAAAACAAGGGAATTTTTCAAAACTTTCATGCACCCATTACCCCATTTACCCTCTAATCCACTACCCTCAAAAGCAGCGACAGAAAACAAGTTATGACGCAAATCAGGAACATGCCTCACATTTTTCATAGTAAACACAGTCCCATTATCAAACTTCAAACATACATCACCCACCCCATGTATTTTGCATTTCTTATTATCAGCAAGAGACACAAAACCATCATTGCAAGAATCATAAGAAGCAAACAAGGATCTAAAAGGTGTCATATGATAAGTACAACCAGAGTCAATCAACCACTCATTTTCAGTCATGCTACTCAACACAGAATTGGCAGAATCACAAATCATAAAAACTTCTTCATGCAAGTTATTATCATCTACCACATTAGCATGTTCAGACTTCTTCGGATGGGGACAATCCTTAATGAAGTGACTAGAATTACCACAATTATAGCACACTCTCTTCTTAGACTTACCTCTCTTCTTCCCCGGGTCATTGTTTTTGTTCTTATCGTTGTTGCCCTTCTTATGGTTTCTAGATCTACTCTTAGACCTACCCCTCACAAACAACGCTTCACCAGAGTCCCTAGACTGACTGTTACTACCCCTCGAGTGTCTAAGGTCTAACTCCTTACTTCTTAATCCATTAACGACTATATCTAACGAGATATCGTCTCTACCATACTTTATGGCAGATTTGACGTCATTGTATGAGTCAGGGATGGCATTAAGTAACACTATGGGTGTGTAGTCATCTATGTGTTTATCACCAGCTTGCTTAATGTTTTGGATAAGCTTGTTAAACACATCTAGGTTCTCATCTATGTCCTTAGACAGGTCAAGCCTAAGTCTAAAGAACTTCTCAAGCAAAAACAATTTACCAGGCAAAGAAGTGTCGGTATACAACTTATCTAACTTGTCCCACAAATCCTTCGCGGAATCTATAATACCCACCTTCCTGAGCACTGAATCAGACAGGTTCAGGTATATAGAGGAACAAGCAGTTTCATTCATCTCAACACGCTTTGCAGCATCCTCAGAGTCTAAATAGAGACCAGTCACAGCTCTATAGACTTTCTGTTGGATCAACACACATTTGATTTTCTGTTTCCAGATATCAAAATCTGTCTTTCCGTTAAATGGAAGCATGCCATATTGATTGACAGCCATATTAACCGGAAAGCAAGCACAATACGCAAGAGAATAAATAAAATTTATCAGGCTATCAACCGGTACGAAGCAACTAGCACGAACAAGCCGAGAAGACCAATGAACACAAAGCTCGGGTACAATCTCCTTGTTCTTTCGTACCGTACGAAGCAACTAGCACGAACAAGCCGAGAAGACCAATGAACACAAGGCTCGGGTACAATCTCCTTGTTCTTTCGTACAAGCACAGATAAAATTTTTATTTACTCAACAGACAGATAAATGATTAATTATAACCTATAGGGCTATCAATTGTACGAAGCAACTAGCACGAACAAGCCGAGAAGACCAATGAGCACAGAGCTCGGGTACAATCTCCTTGTTCTTTCGTACAAGCACAAATAGGCTAGAATTAAATCAACAAGCAAAGAAACGGGATTTAAAACTAAACCGGATGAAATATTCACAACTTTGGACAACGAGTATCCAAACAAAATATTCTTAACCGGAGAGTTTATCCACGAATCAATCAACAGAAAAAATCAAAATAAAAAATCCAACACGTGATTAAATTTAAACCGGAAGAAATATTCACAACTTTGGACAACGAGTATCCAAACAAAATATTCTTCACCGGAAAATTAATTCACGATTCAACAAGTAATCACAATTCAACTAACAAGTAAATAGCAATTCAACTTGAAATTAAAATGAATGAACTACGAATAAAAATCACACAAAGGATTAGTAAACGTACCAGGGGCCGGGCACAGCCGGCATCCAAGACCACGCAGGTCAGCAGCGGGGGAGCGGGGGAAAAATTAAATCCGGTGGCACTCCGGTACACCAAGGATGTTTAAGCCAATTTACCTGAGCGGGGCCCGAGGTTGGGTTACCCGACTTACCGTAGGCAGCGTGGGCTGCTGTAGAGCACGACGGCAATGGACTGGACTGGCGGCAGCGGACTGAATCGGCGGCAGACTGGCGGCAGAGTCTCCCAAGCAGCGGCAGCAGGTCTGGACAGCTTCTGGACAACACCTTGGACTGCTGGAACCCTCTGGACCGACTTGGCAGCACTCCCTGGACCTCCGGCGACGGCGTGCGACGGCGAGGCGGCGGCGAGGCGGCGGCAGTCCCTCCGTGTCTCTGATACCACTGTTGTTTGGACTTCTCTTCCAGCTCAGGTCTCGATTTATCACCCACAAAGGATGCTAAAATCACCACCAAGGTCAACAAATGGAGAAGGGGCAGCAGCCAGCAAGTTTTCTCGGCCAAATCTATCGATATTCCACAGAGGAGTATTTTAGGGTTGTAATTGGGGAAGAGAAATTTCGGCCAGCCTCATCGATAGAGAAGAGAACAGATATATAGGCAAAGCACAACACTCATAGATGGAAACTTACCTTAGGAAGATTAGCAGAGTATCGGGAAGAAGAAGGAAGTAATCGAATAAGGGAGAAAGCCGATTCAAACACAAGAGGTGCAGCTGGATCGGTTAAAGCAATGGGCCGGGTAAATAACCACAAGCATTTGGGCTTAGGAAAAAAACAAGGGCCAATACCAACAACTATATTCATAAAGATAAACCACAACATGTTATAATTATGTTTTTTAAAATCTCCTAAACGTCCAAAACCCGTTGATGTCACATATTCAAGAATGACTGAATGAGAAGCATGGTCAGAAGCTTGAGGCGGCGAAAGACTAACCGTTATCATGTGAGATCATATTTATCCACACCTAAGCCGGAAAACTCCAGCACCGCCCCTCGGCAAAACCGATGGCCGACGAATCTAAGCTAAGCGTTACCGGATGGTAACCCCAGAGAAAAGCTCAAGAAAATTTAAACATCTTATTATGTAAACATACCTCATAAAAGGAACCTATTCACACGGATTTAATAATGTGTGGATTTGATTTCCGGTTTCGGTTAGTAAGCGCTAAATGCAGTATGTGTTTTTACTTCACATGTTTTACAAATTTATTTGTGTTTTAGTAGCGAAGTAAACATGTTCTAAGTTACTATTGTAGTCGCTACACTTAAGATGTCACATTTTAAAAAAAAAAAACATTTAATTTAGTGATATACTTCGTATATAATATATATGTAATTATTTCTTAAAATTTTCTAATGGATTTATGCAACCGACAATATATTTTCTAAATATAGTGGTTTCAAAGTTAGAGATATGCTAAAAACAAAATGTGCATATTACAAGGATGAAAAGCAAAACAAAAATATTACCGGGAGCTAAAACAAAGTGTATTATGTTTGCTTGTAATATCGATCAATTAGTCATTCAAAAAACAATGAGCAGGGTATTTTTCAAAAAAAAAATTGTTGGGTGTCTAATTTTTTTGCGAAGGTATCAACTAACTGCACCTGAGTTGGGACATATAACACTGCCAGAAAAAACAATGATCAATGCAAAAAGTGTTGTTTTGAGCATGTTGTAACAGAACTAACAAACAAATAAGTCATGCATAAATTAAAAATCTAACAAATTTAAAACAGTTTGTTATAATGATATTCCGTGTATTTCTTTATTCATAATGAAATAACAACTATTATTGAAAATAATAATCAACTATTGATTATTTTTGTATAATCCCAACTATATGGACCTTCCGCCAATAGTGGTCCATGACCAGATATTACCTCCTATAACAAGTGAATTTTAAATAGAAATTAAGCGTAAAAATTAACAGTTGCAATTATTTATAGGGATTACTTGTTATATCTCTTCTCATCCACTTTAGAAACTACAAGAATTTATTTATAGGGACCATTATTGGCGGAAGGTTCCTAAAGTTGGGATTATTTTGAAATAATCAATGGTTGGGATTATTAAAAGCGGATCGCCAATAGTTGAGATTATTACTATCAATTTTTCCTAACAATAATGCATTATACACGGATGAATTGTTGAGAGATGGGGCACAACTTGTACAAGTACATGTAAAAATTTTTCCTAAGATATGCTTCTCTGTACTTTGAGAAGCATATACTTGTACAACTTTGAGAACACTTCACAAAAAACTTAGGGAAAAGTACAGAAAAAATACATGTGGTTTGGGCCGTTTTCAGATAGGGGCACGTGTTTCGTTTTTTAACAAAGTGGGACATGTGTTTCAATTCCAGGGGCGGACTATAGTACAGACCCAGGGGGGCGGTCGCCCCCCCCAACAACAAAATTTTTAGTGTATATATATAATAAAAAATAATTTTCGCCCTCCCAAAAAATATTTTGTTTAAGTTACCGCCCTCCCAAGACAAACTTCCTGGGTCCGCCCCTGTTCAATTCCGTTATCACAACAGAGGCATGGCGTCTAACGCTGTTAGAAAATTCAACCCCGATTTTCAAAAGTCTCTTAAACATTTAAAGAAAAATAATGGGAGGTGCGACTCATCAAGGAGACCAACAAACTATCGTTCTCTTTGAATTTTTCGGCTATATTTGGATTGTTTTTTAAAAATGAATTTGTTAACATCACTTTTCTGGCGGATTTTTTGGCAATATGGTGGCTGGAAATGAAAAAGAAAGATAGTTTGTTGGTCTCCTTGAGGAGGCGCACCTCCCGGTATTTTTCTTTTGATGTTTCGGAGACTTTTGAAAATCGAGGTTAAATTTTCTAACGGCGTTAGGCGTCATGCCCCTGTTGTGATAACGGAATTGAAACACATGTCCCACTTTGTTAAAAAATGAAACACATGCCCCTATATGAAAACGGCTCAAACCACAGATACATTTTCTGTACATTTTCCAAAAACTTATATGTGAGGTCGTAAAGAGTTGCCACCTAACCCCATCATGTAAAATACCCTATATTTATATATATACATACTTATTTTTAACCTGGTAGGCTATACATACACATGTCCTAAATATAGTATATTAGGGACTTGGTGAGTATTTTCCTAAACTACGAATCCTGTATATGTACCGCAAATTATACCGTGGGATCGGCCCACCATGCAGATGGTGTGCCGATCCCAAAACGACATAGTTTTATCTATATTAAAATCAAGGTGCCGCCGACTTAGGTATTTCAAAATTGCCAAAAGAAGATCGTGTGCTACGCCGTCTTATTGCTTCGCATCATTTCTTGTTCGACTAAAAGGGGGTCGTTCACTACAGGAGGTGTGTCGGTATCGCTGGAGTAACCTTTCCATTAACATTTAAACCTTGCGCATCATTGATTGGCGAGAAACAACGGCTGGTTACATTGCTGGCAAAAGCATGAAGAATGTAGAAGTTAATTAGGAATCTACTTTATCTTTATCCATATACTTCGTATATATATATATATATACAGAAATGCTCAGGTCCCTCCCTCCCCTATCCAGCCGACGTCCGAACTCCGCCATTTGGGGCAGTTCCCGGTGAACTTTTTTGATGAAATTTTTTGAGCATGTTCTTCATCAAGTCTAGTTTGTTCATACCAAATTTCAGCTCAAAATTCGATCGGGAAGGCATTCACATCATTTTTTGAAGTTGACTGCGTTTTTATATGTATATTTTGGCGCAGCCAACTTCAAAAAATGATTTGAATGCTTTCCCGATCGAATTTTGAGCTGAAATTTGGTATGAACAAACTAGACTTGATGAAGAACATGCTCAAAAAAATTCATCAAAAAATTCCACCGGGAACTGCCCCAAACGACAAAGTTCAGACGGGGACTTCCGTCCCTCCGGCTGGACCTGAGCAGTCTTCTATATATATATATATACACAAAAAGTTCATGTCCGGAATTACGGACAGGAACCGCCGTCCGGACGGCGGCGTTTGGCCGCCTTCCCGGTGGCATTTTTTGATGAAATTTTTATGGCATGTTCTCCATCAAGTCTAGTTTATCCACAAAAAAATTCAGCCAAAAAATCAATCGGGAAGCTTGTCAAATGATTTTTGCAAGTTAACTGGTCCGGAAAATACATATTCCGGACCAGTTAACTTGAAAAAATCATTTGACGACCTTCCCGGTCGAATTTTGAGCTGAAATTTGGTATGGGCAAACTAGACTTGATGAGGAACATGCTCAAAAACTTTCATCAAAAAATTCCACCGGGAAGGTGCCCAAACATTCCTCTCTCTCTCTCTCTCTCTCTCTCTCTCTCTCTCTCTCTCTCTCTCTCTCTCTCTCTCTCTCTCTCTCTCTATATATATATATATATATATATATATATAGAGAGAGAGAGAGAGAGAGAGAGAGAACTTCATGTCAGACCGGCCTGACGGGCTGCCCCGTCCGGCCGAGCCCATTTGGGCACCTTCCCGCTGGAATTTTTTGATGAAATTTTTTGAGCATGTTCCTCATCAAGTCTAGTTTGTCCATACCAAATTTCAGCTCAAAATTCGATCGGGAAGGTATTCAAATCATTTTTTGAAGTAGACTACAAACTAGACTTGATGAGGAACATGCTCAAAAAATTTCATAAAAAAATTCCACCTGGAAGATGCCCAAATGGGCTCGGCCGGTCGGAGTATCCCGTCAGGCCGGCCTGATGAGAAGAGCACTCTATATATATATATATATATATATATATATATATATATATATATATATATATATATATATATATATATATATATATATATGAGTCTCGTTCCTATCAGGAGCTCCTGAAGAGAAGCCCTGTGCGGACAAGCCCATCAGAGGGTCTTCCCGGTGGAATTTTTTGATGAAATTTTTTTAGCATGTTCCTCATCAAGTCTACTTTGTCCATACCAAATTTCAGCTCAAAATTCGATCGGGAAGGCATTCAAATCATTTTTTGAAGTTGACTGCGTCAAAATATACATATAATACTGCAGTCAACTTCAAAAAATGATTTGAATGTCTTCCTGATCGAATTTTGAGCTGAAATTTGGTATGGACAAACTAGACTTGATGAGAAACATGCTCAAAAATTTCATCAAAAAATTCCACCGGGAAGGTGCTCAAACGGGCTCGGCCGGACGGAGCAGCCCGTCAGGCTGGCCTGACATGAACATTCCTCTCTCTCTCTCTCTCTATATATATATATATATATCTTATACAGTTTGGACAATTTATATTTTGATTGGCTCAATTAAGTTACATTCAAAAATATATACAGTTACATTTTTTTGTGAGCGAGTTACATCTTGTTATGCACGATTTACATCATTCATGTACGCGAGTTACATATCTATTGGTGTGAGTTACATGTCAACTTTCTTCAGCAAGTTACATCTTGTTTACATGTGATTTACATTTTTCATAATCCAAGTTACACCACAATAAAATGGGAGTTACGTAACTCAATAAGCCCTTGCTATAATGCTATTCAAAGAAAAATTAATTTTATAAAAAAAATTTTTATAGTCTTGATATATTAGAAACAAAACGTATGCACAATCTACTAGTCATGGACCCGGGCCGGTTCCGGTTCCGGGCCGGGCCCGGCCGGGCTTTTTTTTGGGAAGGAAGGCCCGGGACCGGCCCGGGTAGCCACCGGGTCCGGGCCGGGCCTCCGGTTCGGTCATCAATTTTTTTTTTTTTTTTGCTTTCCTAACCCCCCAACTCACCCCCCCCCACCCCACCC